ATATCACATGGCCATAAATAAGTGTTAAGCGAGATATGTAGGGGAAGAACCCTTAAAGAGTGTGTGTAAGGTAACATTGATCTAATTAAATGGATTAATGGTTTATAAGTATTTCTACCTAACAATCCGATTAAACTTTTTTTTGTCCTCACTAAGGTTAATTTTTAAATTGAAAGATACCTAACTATATATTAACACTCTTTATACTTCATGTTCTAGAATTAGACTTATTAGAACAAGTGATGGATTGTTGGAAATTAATGGAAAATTAATCCCCATGGGTGTGTTCAAATATGACAAAGTTAAAGAGGATAAAAGTGCTACATAGACAAAAGTTAAAGTTGCCTTCAATTCCGTCTGAAGGAAATTTTGGTCAGTTTTTATACTAAACATTCACTACTAAAAGTTGCCTATAAATATGTCTTAAGAAACTTTTGGTAAGTTTTTGCACTAAACATCCACGATTGTAAGTTTTCTTTAATCTTGTCTCAAGCTACTGAATGTTTGAATTTCGAATTCAAAATATATAACACTTCATGAAGTGGTGCATAATGTAACTATAGGCGTACCATTGCAATCTTATGCGGAAAGGGTGTTGTTTCATCAAGGGTTGCAAACTTGTGAAACATTACATGAATTACCTATATGTGAATTTCGAGATGGTTTCGTCTCAAAGTGAGAGTTGGAGTTTCTCTCATTAAAAATTTATGAAAAAGGATAACACATGGCCATAAATAAGTGCTAAGCGAGATATGTAGGGGAAGAACTCTTAAAGAGTGTGTGTAAGGTAACACTGATCTAATCATATGGATTAATGGTTTAAAAGCATTGCTACCTAATATTATGATTAAACTTTATGTTTTCCTCACTAAGGTTAAGTTTTAAATCGAGAGATATGTAACTATATATTAACACTCTTTATACTTCATTTTCTGGAATTAGACTCATTAGAACAAGTGGTGGATTATTGGAAATTAATGGACAATTAATGTCTATGGGTGTATTCAAATATGACAAAGTTAAAGAGGATAAACGTGCCCCATTGACAAAAGTTAAAGTTGCCTTCAATTCCATGTGAAGAAAATTTTGGTCAGTTTTTATACTAAACATCCACCAGTAAAAGTTGCCTTTAAATGTGTCTTAAGAAAATTTTGATAAGTTTTTGCACTAAACATTCACATGTGTAAATTTTTTTTAATCTTGTCTTAAGCTACTGAAAGTTTGAATTTCAAATTCAAAATATATAACACTTCATGAAGTGGTGCATAATGTATCTATAGGCGAACCATTCTAATTTTATGCTAAAAGGGTACTATTTCATCAAGGGTTGCAAACTTGTGAAATATTACATGCATGACCTATAAATACATTATTCAGAATCTGAAAATCATACAATAAAATCATAAATTCTCTTCATTATATCAGACACTCTTTCTTACATTCGAGTTCTTCACCAATCTTGTGCAAATTCGATTATCCTGAATATTCTTGCTTTTCAAACTCTAAAACAATAAAGAGAGTGCTTGAAATACTTTTAAGAAAAGTGACTCTATTTACGATTCAAACCTGAATTCATTTAATATTATATATATATATATATATATATATATATATATATATATATATATATATATATATATATATATATATATATATATATATATATATATATATATATATATATATATATATATATATATATATATATATATATATATATATATATATATATATATATTGTATTCATAATTTTATGTATGACTTTAATAAGACAACGTATCTACATCGTATATATTGAGTAGATACTCCTAACATCCCAAATTGCGGATTTGTGTTTTTCTATGTTTTAGAAACACTATGCTTTTTTTTAAAGTTTTAGGCTATATATTAATTTGACGTTACTTTATGGAGACTTGGGAAAAGTTCATAAGATCGGTTTCATTTTAACACCTTAAGTCTCCTGAATATGGAAATCAATTTGAATACTTTTTATGACGTAGCCTTGAGTTCTCATCCTTTAATATCTCTTAAGTAGTTTATCTTAGTAGCCATCACCATCTCACACACGCTCTACATAGGGAAGCCAATGAAAATAAGTGAGTGATCCAAAGTCTTAATTGAAAAAGATAAACAATAAAATAGGGAATACACCTTCTAACGATTTTAGAACCTAAAAAAACATGATAATAAGACCCGTTGTTGGTTGGTTAAGAGGTTTCTAGTTCTGAACTTGGTACGGAAGATTACGGTCTGATCCCTCGCAACTACAATTAGGTGAATAAGTGGTTACGCCACTTAGTTACCAAAACCTTGGGAAAAAAGGATCAGAGTCACTAATCGGTCGCCTTATTATGAGTATGTGGGGATAACTAGCTTAATATGATTGCGCTAGAATCACTATGCCAAAAAAGACCTAAGAAGGCGCTTTTTTTGCCCTTTAGCAGCACTTAAAAGCGCTGCCTATGGTGGTGCTGACGTAGGTCTAGACAGCGCTTTTTTTTTTACGAAAAAGCGCTACCATATGTATTCTTTGGCAGCGCTTTTTTATGAAGAAGCGCTTTCATAGGTCTACCTAAGGCAGCGCTTTTTACTTGAAAAGCGCTTTCATAGGTTACCTTAGACAGCGCTTTTTGTGAAAAAGTGCTTTCATAGGTTACCTAAGGCAACGTTTTTCTTGAAAAAGTGCTTTCATAGGGTGTTTTTTTTAGAGGTATAATTTATATAATTCATATACCTGCATTATTTGCAGCATATTATTTATATATACCAGTTGCCATAACCTGTAATTCATAAGAATATCAAGAAGATGTGGCTCAAACTAAATAGTACTCAATAATCTAAATAGTACTCAATAATCTAAATAGTACTCAATAATCTAAAGATAACTGATACACTTACAAAACCTTCCTCAAATATCCAAATCAAATATAACAATAATTAAGGACGTACAAGAGTTTCTGCAATAACTTTGAAAACAAAAAATAACAAAATTGTAATATTGCTTCCTTTCTAACTCTCAGTCTGCTCCCTCAACCTTCAGATGGTACTCCGAACAGTCACAACACTGGAAGTACTGTCAAAATAATAAGCACCAAGAATATCACAAGGTTCGCAACTATATACAAGCAATTAATCAATTGAGAAAACATGTTTTTTGAGTAACATTCTTACTTCAAAGTGTAAGCACCACCAGCCTTGACCTTTGAAACAACCGGCTGAAAATCATCAAAACAATGAAGTCGCCATCGAACGTCTTTTATGCCACATGTAGGGAAAGGTAAACATCGAGAAAACCTGAGAAGGGAGAAGTCACGGTCTTGCGACCGAGAGATCGAGTAAGGGAGTCTGTTACGCGAGGGGAAGGTATTAGCACCCCACACGCCCGTAGTACTCTACGGTATCCACTCTTGTTGTCTATCTTATGCGTGTGTTTAATCTATGCTTACTGTCTACTATACTACTGGAGGGAAAATGCACGCAAAAGAAAGGAGAAAAGAATGTAGGGAAAATAAATTTGTGCTCGCCTAGGCCCTACCCTAATGCCTACGTATCCTTTTTGAGGAATCAGAGCTACCGTAGTTCGGCTCATGTGTTTTTGTTTGTTTGTGTTTTTTATGGACAATGTTAATTCCTCCTTCTGCCGCAGCTCGACCTTTGGAGACTTATGCATTGGCACAGAAGTAAACTAATCATGTCCTTACCTGAAAAGGGTTTAGAGAAAAGGTGCTCGAGCGCACAAAATGGTTTGAATTTGTTTTGTATTTTTGTTATCTTGAAAAAGGGTTTAGATATGATTAGCGTGTTTTTGATTTGCTAAGAAAGGAAGTTTTTGTTTTGAATGCAAGGATGCAAAGAGGGGAAGAAAAGAGTCTAAGGGAGACTATCCTATTTCTAACCTAATGTTATCATGCAATGGTAGCCCTATGTCAAGGATGAAAGGGGAAGTTTCTACCTACTGTTAGCATGCATGGGTTGCAATCTAAGGTCTAACTTGCATCCGAACAGAGCAAGCGTATCCTAAGGGAACATGGTGTGTACAAGGATAAGGCAAGCAAGCCAGCAAAAAAGAACACCTAAAGAGACCCTGCCTAGGTTAGCATGTCGAAGAAAAGTCTAAAACAACTATCCTATAGGAAGCATGCAATGAGAGCGAAGTCGTGATCTCAATTTCTAAATTAAGTGACTCATCGATCAGCAAGAAAGAATGGAAAGCGATAAAATCCTATAGGGAGCACGCACTGAGAGCGAAGTCGTGATCTCAATTGCTAAATTGAGTGACTCATCGATCGACAAGAAATTAAACAAACACAAGCACAACACATATAGTAAATGAAGTGTGGAATGCCTGCTACAGGTCTTTAAACAGCGACTTCGAGCGCACACTCTTTATTTCCTACTTCTCATGATATCTAGAAAAGCGGTAAAGTGCGGAAATGGGGAGTAAAATGAGGTTGCGATGGTACCGAACAGAGAAGGTCCGTTGCCTCTTCATAATCACACAAGCAATAAGAAAACTCTACAGAAGCCTCCTTGAATTCCTTGATGAAAATTATTCTTTTAGCTAGCTTTGAAACTTCATGAAACTCCTCACTCAAGTCTCTTTTTATTTCAAAATGCCACACAAAATTGGCATTAAAATTTACCCAAAACATGGATATAATAATAACAACAAATTAATAAAAGAAGCAAAATTCTATTCTAATATTTTTTTAATTTTCATCATGTGAACAATTAAAGAAAAAACCATGTATAAATATCACACAAAATTATTTGAGAAATAATAGAAAGTATTCAGGGGGTGCAAACAGCAGTTTGGGAGTATATTCCAGCAATTCACTATGTAGCATAAGCCCTCCCCAAAAATATAATCCATAAGCTGCTCCCTTTCCTTTTTTGCTCATATGCATGATAAAGATCAGAAGCGAAAAGCGGGCCTAAGACATTCAATTTTGATCCAGTAAGAGTGTTCTTTTTTTTTGTTCAATACACAAGGTGCAACTATGGGCTTAAGCATGGGGTTTTTGACCCAGGTCCATCACCTTCAACACCCATCAGCTATCCTCCTTTTTTAATGACTTATTTGCATCTTTAGAAAAAAAGGAAATAAGCAAAAAGAACAGAAGAGGAATTGTTAACCATTAGGGCCGACTGATAACTTCTCCTCCGCGACTCACGGCGGCGGCCAAAACCTCCTTTTCTGATCGAATCCGTGACAGAGCCCAAACATCCGATCGACTTCTCTCTCCGCCAAATCTCCAACGATCTTTTCCATTTCGTCTCATCACCTTCGTTCGCGATTTCGACGATTCCATTTACCTTATCTTTGATTCATCTTTGCGGTTCAAACAAGCCAAACGAAAAATAACACACATTAATGGCTAATCAGAAAATGTTGAAGTTTATTACCTACCGGAGACAGTCCGGTGCCTCCTTGATGGCGATAATCGACAATAAATTCAAGAGATAAACTCAGGTATGTGCTTTGTTTTCGATTCTCCGATTCATACTTCTTCTAGGTCATTCTTCTACTTCTCTTCTTCCACTTCTTTCTTCATTTGATTTCTGTCTCACGGAGTTGCTGTTGTGATTGTGCAAGGAAGAAATATGCATTGAAGCTGCTTTAGCGCATTGAAGATGCTGCAGATTCGCCGAGGTTTACGAAGTAGAAGCGTTTATTGGTGTTGTTGTTGTTGAAGGCTGCGATGAAGATGATGCAGATCGAGGCAGAAGCTACATGAGGATTGTTGCAGGTTTGGAAGATGATTGAAGAGGGAGCTCAAAGAATTCAGAGGGTAGAAGAAGAGAGATGAGGGAGTTTTCTCGGTTCTGCAGATGAAGAACGAAGGTGATGGTGGTTAAGGGATGAAGATTGGGAGAGGGAGAAGAGAGAATTTTTCAATTTTGGTGTGATTCTTCTGGGAGTTTTTTGAAGAATCATCTTGAATCTGGTGAGTAATTGATTTACATAGTTTCTGTTAGATCTAAAAGTTTGTTAGGAAAAATTTAATCCAGGCCCTTGAATCAGATAGTTAGTTATAAAATCAATGGATATGATTGGAAAAAAAATGAAGTTAGTTATAACTGAATTTTTGTTTATGGTTTTTCTCAATTCATGAATTCTCACGGCTTCCTTGGTTTTCTGTTTTTTGAGATAACAGTTAGGGAGCTGAGTTGGCTTTTTATTATGCAGGGTGTTTGGAAAATGGTTAAGCAGTTAATTTCTTTGACAGATGGGGAGGTTGGAAGTGGTTATTCTGTTTGTGAATTCTGTTTTGGTTATTTCAGGGTTCTCCTTTTGTTTTATTTCTTTCTTGAAAATAGTCAATTGGTTATAAGCTGAACTAGTTTTTGAATTGGATATTGTGGACTGGTTTGGAATTTGCATCTGGTTTATGTTTGATTTTATTTGTATTCATGTGCAGCAGGTTTGCTTCAATGATGTGGCATGGTGATTAATGCGAGGCATGGCTTTTGTTACTTGTGAATATGCATGTATAATGCATTATTTTGGATAGCTTTTGCGAAGGTTTGCAAGTTTGGTAATGAAGGATTGGTGGGTAGGAACAAAGGGAAAATTCTATGAAGGTTTTTTCATGAAGATTAGATGGAGTTGGATGAAGGAATGAAGATGTAGAACATTAGGTTTAGGTTAATCACCATGTATTGTAGTTTTCAATTTTTCCACAAATGTTAAGGAACAAAAGCTTGTAACTCGTTTGGAGTTTGAATGACCATGATTGGAAGTATTTTCACATTGTTTTTCCAATGATCTTGAACTTTGAATGAAATGCCTTTTTATTCTAAAAAATCCCACTCAAATATTTAAAAACTTTTATTCACTCCAAATCCTCTTCAAATATTAATGAACAAGTTCCAATCAAATTATAACCTCAATGAATCCCTAATTCAATTCACTTCCTCAATATAAACCAAACTTGTGTGTCAAGCAACAAGCATTTGAAATAATGACACCTTGATTACAATCTACATCTTGTACCATGTCCCGACTATATGAGCACTAGAATAACGACGTCTTAGACCCCTGAAGAAGATATTCAAGATGACTTTGAACTTAGACCTTAGTTCACATAGTCTTTACTTAAACCTTTAGTGAAACCCTAGTGATGTTGCCCTTGACGAGGATGACAGCCTTATAGCTTGATGGGGGAGAAGTTCACCATGATTAAGAATCCAAACCCTAGTTCTATAAACCACAGTTACTCGAAAACCAACTGATTCAAGCTTAAGTGAAGATGAGGACCATCAAAGCCATAGAAACCCTAATTCCATCATATCAATGATTCCATGCCAAATTATGTTGTTAGCGAACGTATGCAATGTTAAATGACCTAATGGAGATATGTACATGAGAAAAGTGTGACAATGCGTAAACCAGATAGAAGTAGAAGCGTAGGACAAATTTGGGGTATTACAGCTGCCCCTATTTAATCGTCTTAAACCTGAAAGTACGATTGGCACACGCCTTTCAGAAGTTCAAGGTTGAAGATGATTAAATATCAATGCCAAAAATTTGTCCTGAGAGAGAGAGTAGGTGTTTTCTTTATTTATTTTTGTGTTATGTGCTGGGGAAAAGAAATTTGTTTTTTCAATGAAGAGACAGAGATTGGACTTGTAACGTGACTTGATGCCAATACAAGACAAATGGATGGTATGAAAAGACAGCGAACGATGTCTACGGGAGAACTACGATCCTAAGGTGACACATGAGAGTGATTTGACAGAGGACCTAGCCAAAGGGCGATCTCAGGTTCTAAGACAAAGTATATGGAAAGAAACTAGCCAAGAGACGATCTCAGGTTCGACGATGATTTGAGGGAAGAACCTAGCCAAGAGGCGATCTCAGGTTCGACGAAGGAAACATGGGTTACGACATGATGATTGTTTAGATAAGCGACACGGACAAGCATCAAGAAAGGTTAAACACAAACGAGTGTTTGAATCAATACGGACGAGTATTGAAAGAAGATACAGACGAGTATCAAAGGTTAAACACGGACGAGTGTTTGAATCAATATGGACGAGTATTGAAAGAAGATACGGACGAGTATCAATGGTTAAACACGGACGAGTGTTTGAATCAATACGGACGAGTATTGAAAGAAGATACGGACGAGTATCAATGGTTAAACACGGACGAGTGTTTGATTCAATACGGACGAGTATTGAAAGAAGATACAGACGAGTATCAAAAGTTTAAACACAGACGAGTGTTTGAATCAATACGGACGAGTATTGAAAGAAGATACAGGCGAGTATCAAAAGGTTAAACACGGACGAGTGTTTGAATCAATACGGACTAGTATTGAAAGAAGATACGGACGAGTATCAAAGGTTAAACACGAACGAGTGTTTGAATCAATACGGACGAGTATTGAAAGAAGATACGGACGAGTATCAAAAGGTTAAACACGGACGAGTGTTTGAATCAATACGGACGAGTATTGGAAGAAGATACGGACGAGTATCAAAGGTTAAACACGGACGAGTGTTTGAATCAATACGAACGAGTATTGAAAGGAGATACGGACGAGTATCAAAGGTTAAACACAGACGAGTGTTTGAATCAATACGGACGAGTATTGAAAGAAGATATGGACGAGTATCAAAAGTTTTAACACGGATGAGTGTTTGAATCAATACGGACGAGTATTGAAAGGAGATACGGGCGAGTATCAAAAGGTTAAACACGGACGAGTGTTTGAATCAATACGGACGAGTATTGAAAGAAGATACAGGCGAGTATCAAAAGGGTAAACACGGATGACTGTTTGAATCAATACGGTCGAGTATTGAAAGAAGATACGGACGAGTATCAAAGGTTAAACACGGACGAGTGTTTGAATCAATACGGACGAGTATTGAAAGGAGATATGGACGAGTATCAAAGGTTAAACACGGACGAGTGTTTGAATCAATATGGACGAGTATTGAAATAAGATACGGACGAGTATCAAAAGTTTAAGCACAGATGAGTGTTTGAATCAATACGGACGAGTATTGAAAGGAGATACGGGTGAGTATCAAAAGGTTAAACACGTACGAGTGTTTGAATAAATACGGACGAGTATTGAAAGAAGATACAGGAGAGTATCAAAAGGGTAAACACGGATGAGTGTTTGAATCAATACGGACGAGTATTGAAAGAAGATACATGAGAGTATCAAAAGGGTAAACACGGACGAGTGTTTGAATCAATACGGACGAGTATTGAAAGAAGATACAGGCGAGTATCAAAGGTTAAACACGGACGAGTGTTTGAATCAATACGGACGAGTATTGAAAGAAGATACGGACGAGTATCAAAGGTAAGCATGGACGAATGTTTGAATAATTGACCCCGGTCAGTGTTTAGGAAACTTGACACATACGAGTGTTTAGGAATGGACACGAACGAGTGTTTAGGGAACTGACTACCAGGCAACAACTGGGTTTAGAATGACAAAGTGTGTTGATTTTGTTTGGCATTGAAAAGGTGAAAGTCACTGATTGGAGATTTTGGGTATGATACCCTCCTGTAGGGATGTATTGTTGTCCTTGAATAATTCATGTCTTTCATGTAAGGTACCTGGTCTGGCTTATGCTTTGTATGCATGTTTGAATTTCTTTTGATGCAAAGATCCACTCGGATGGATCAGCTACGCGCTTTTGAGGATGAAATGTTATGCAGTGATAACTATATGCAATGCAAAGGAATAAACATCATGGGGATAAGGGAAGGATTGCTGGGACCGCTGCTCATCACTGGGGATGTCAGTATATATCGATCCTGGAAGTCTGCAGTACAAAAGATTGCTGGGGATACTGACAAAAATTTGCACTGGAGAGCCCATGACACCGAAGATTGTTGATGACTCTGCTGGAGATTAAGTTGCCGAAGAAACGAGTCTTCAGATACAATGCTAGATTCTGATTCATACCGTTGGGAAGAGATAACCTGGCCAGACTTCCAAACATCCTGGCCTGTTGAGAGGATGACAGACTGAATATGCCGAAGAATAGATACTGAACACCATGTGGATCCCTTTGAATACATGTCCCAAGTTTACACACACTGGGGAATTATCTCTTGAATCACTTGGGGGATAAGAGATGGGCGTGGACACCTATGAGTGCCCCAGTTGACCTCTGCGAATGCCCCAGTTTAGCTCTGCGAATGCCCCGGTTTATCTATGTGAATTCCTCGGTTTAGCTTTACTGGGGATGTTCTTGATTAATTCCACTGAGGATGCATTTGCGCGTGCTGAGTTAAAAGACGATTCTAGATCTTCTGAATTCACTTGGGGAATCAGGTCCGAAGTTGTTTGTAGAAAATGAAGGCAGCTTCGTGCGCTGGCCAAGTCAGGTTGACTGTTATGATGCTTTTAGCTTGATCGTAGTGGTCTCGTGCAACATAATTGGCTTGAGCAACTTTGCAAGTATGGATGAGGAACGCCCCTGTCTGGAGGGTCTCTGAGAAGATCTATGTTGAATAGAAGACCAGAAGACTCGTGCCACAATATGATATGAGGTGGCCTGCCCCAATGTCTTGAGCCACGAAACAAACTGTTCTTGATTACAGCTTTGTTGGAGAGATTTGTGGAATCTCGACGTAACTGCCCCAGGTTGAATGAATTTTGAGTAGATTTATCGATGTGATAATCTCTGATGGATTGAGCTTGAAGAGATTTATAGACGTGATAGCCTCTGATTGACAGCTTGAAGATATTTATCGACGTGATAGCCTCTGATTGATCGAGCTTGAAGAGA